AATTTTTTTGTATACAAGCAAGAAAGTGATGAAAGTATGTTTATTTGACATTTTAAATACTAATGAGGTTATATTGCTGCTTACTTCGCTTATGACATGTATGTGTGTTGGAATACATGTTCAATGCAACGACAAAGACACATCTGTAGGCATACTCCCCTTGCCACCTACCCCCGCAAGTGATCTAACGAACCTCCTTAAGTGGAATGCAATTTTAATTTGAAATTTGATCGAAGTCGTTCCAACTTTCGAACGTGTCCGCTCTCGAAAACGTTCGATCCATCGATTGTACCGCCGAGTTCGACCGTCGACGCGGAAGGGAAACCATCTTTGAACCATCACTTCACGTGAACGAGAAAACCGTTCCAAAATGGCGGCGTACTTGGCAGTATTCTGTTGTACAAAATAGGTTATCGGGTGGTGCCTATACATGCGACCGATATATCGGGATCTAACGTGAAGCTAATAGCGCCGCGAGTATTATGATCGGCTCCAGATAAGATTCGTGTAACACGGCGCGTTTTAATCTCCCGTATTATCGCGCGCGCATCCGAAAGATAATGGCCGATAATGTCATCGCAGGCGACGACGAGCTCCTGAAAAACATCAAAACGCTCCTCTGGGGCTCGACCGTCAAGGAGGACGTTTTCAAGCGATGGGCGCAAGGTACGGGGTCAATCGTCTTGGATTATTATGACAGCCACGTCCCGCGCACGCGGCCACCCGTCGTGTGACATACGAATTTTATGTGTCGTGTCACGCCGGTTCAATGGCCGTTCATTAGCGACAATTGTAATCACTTCCACGAAAGACAGTCTGAAAAAAAAATTTCATTTGTTGCCTCCCCGATTATTCTATATAAAAGCCATTCACTTGACAGCGCTGTAAAATTGACTGATTTGACAACTCGACGTGGAGTACAAAGCTGAAATGTTTTACTCGTGATCCTCTTATATAATAAACACAAAACGCAACATTGCAGAGTATTGTAGAACCGAATTATAGAAATATTATAAGTATATTGCCGTATGTCCTGATTGCGTCCACATCAATTGTCTATCTGTTGTACAGGCTTCTACTTCAGCACAGATGAACCTACTGCGCTTGTACAGAGAGAAGGAGGGCCTTGCGCTGTGATAGCCGCGGTTCAAGCATTTATTTTGAAGCAGTTACTGCTGGAGAGCGATGTCATAACTTGGAAGGCCATCAAGGCCGAAAAATGTGATCAGCTGCTTGTGAAAGCCATGACCGAAATTATAAATCAGGCCGCCGATATTCAGGATCCTAAGTTTGCAGTAGTACATGCCAGTGATTCCAATGGCTTTGTGTCCGGCAAAGAGGGGACTGATTCTAAATCAACCGAGCCAACGGTAAATCCAGCTCAAGAAAATATTAGCGAAGGTAATCGAATTAATGAAACGCAGATCACGAAACAAGCGTCATTAGAATCGGAAGCTTTTCATTCTCAACTAAGGTACGTTTGCCCTGGAGCAGATAACGTTTCTTGCGAAAGAATTATTCGATGCTTCTTTTCTGTTGTAACTAATTGATATTTTGTCGATTATGCTAGGATATTTACTACAAGTAGCATCGATGACGTAGAGGACTTTTTCACGGAACGAATTGGGATGTTAAAAGACCAGTATGGTATATTGCTGCTACTTTATACGGTAATGTGTACAAAAGGAGTTTCGGAAATATGCTCTGAAATGTCGGACCCCACAGAACCCATGATCGATTCTACCTACGGATATGGAAGCCAAAGTTTAATAAATTTAATGCTTACCGGCCGGGCAGTTAGTCACGTCTGGGATCATGATCAAGATATTAGTGGATTAAGTGAGTTGAGCTTTCTTTTTCTTTAAATTTAACGGCTGTCTCTATTCTATATCAGGATTGCCACAAAACTGGAAATCAGGGGAAAGTCAGGGAATTTTACAAAATTTTCTGAAAAATTGAAATTCTTAGCTTTCAAGAAGTTTAATATATTATACACTTATACAGTTTTGTCAGCTAGTATAAACTCTTTTTAATAGAAATTTTAAATGCTTCACTAAGAGCATTAACATTTTCAATTCTTCTACTTTTTATCGAAATTATAATTTTTTTTAAACTGTTTTTTTAACTTGTAAGTTTTTCTTGTGTCAGTTGTAAACATATTAATAAAATTAAAATTAACTTTATATTTTTGTAATTCTTTTAAGTTTGGAAATCTTTGTATAATAGCAAGTCAGAGATTCTAATAAATAGGATTTAGTTTTTATCAAAAAGAATCTATATTTACATGTTTCTTGCATTGTAAGTAGAGGAAAAGAAATGTACGCATACATAAAAGAAAAAGATAAAGGAATACTAACAACTTAACAATTAAATGCAAGCAATGTCAACAACAATAACCGTAATTTATATTGCTATGTTAATTTGTTCTCTCAACAAAATATTTAACGGTTTCCAAATAGTTTTCAAATCAAACGAACATACAAAAAAATTTTTTAACATTGAAAGTCAAGGAAAATCATGAAATTTTGTCTGGAAATCTGGAAAAAGACATCCAATTTTAGAATGAAAAACTTATGGCAACCCTGTATTGTATGTTTTAATGTGACGTACTAGATTGTACTTTCTGTATCAACATGTTACATTTTTTTACAGAATTACGCGGAATTGATAAACAGAATACAGTGGGATTCCTCACTCTGCTGGAGCATTTACGGTATTGCGAAGTGGGAACCTTTTTAAAATCACCATCGCATCCGATCTGGGTGCTGGGATCGGACACGCATTTAACTGTACTCTTCTCTACGGAGAAGCGTCTTGTGAGCCCAGAGACACCGTCGGAACAAGCGCGAAGAATTTTCAAACGCTTTGATCCGGAAGGGAATAACTTTATCGCGGCGAATCTACTGCAGGACGTACTGGCGGAATTAGGACTGGTAGCCGACGCGGAGTAGTATGTATTTGCTTTTTCATAATGTTTTTATACAGTGTATACATATTGTATTGCGTTAATAAACGCATGTAATATCGCTTATATTAAAGAGTGACCCTAAAAAAGGTTGTTTTTTCGCTCGTTTTTTGGGCCCTCGATTTTTGGGACTAAACTGTGTGCCAAATGTATCCTATAATGAGACAATCACAGAGATGTTTTATTTTCAGATGACAATTATTATCGGAGTTGGAGAGGAGCGAGGTGAAATCAAAGTTCATTTCTCTGATCGACACGCTAAAAGTTTCCTGCAAAAGGAAAGTGGTTTCCCATAGATTTTGGAGAACTGAAAACTATGTTGCTCTCAAAATTCGTCTATCACATCACATTTTGGAGAAAAATGGAGTTAAATCCTTTAAAAAAATGCATTTTTTGCAATTTTTGAATAATTGCAGCGGACGAACTTGATGTACTAAAAACTTCTAAAAATTCTTTAATGAAAGCTTAAATATTGTAGTCAAGTCGAAGTATCTATAATTATTACGAAACTATTTACTTGCATCAGGTTCCTTCGCTGCGATTTTTCAAAAATTGCGAAAAACGCGTTTTTTTTAAGGAATTCAATCCCATTTTTCGCAAAAATGTCACGTGATAGACAAATTCTGAGAACAGCATAATTTTCAGCATCCCAAAATCTACAGGAAACCATTGTCCTTTTGCAGGAAATTTTTAGCATGTCGATTAGTAAAATGAACTTTTATTCCACCTTCCTCCCTTCCAACTCCGATAACAATTATCACCTCAACTTGAAATTTCTCTGTAATTAATGTCTCATTATAGGGTACCATTTGGTACGCAATTCAGTCCCAAAATCGAGGGCCCAAAAAACGAGCGATTTTTAGGGTAATTCTTTGATTGTTTTAATTTCGACTGTCAAGATAGTTTTAGCAAATTTTATATCGAAATGTTCTAGTGTCGATATTATGAGGAAGAAGCTGGACAGTGAAAATTTAGGGATAATACTTCTCGCATCGTTTATGGACGAATTCTTTCCCGAGGAGCCACGCATGTGCCCAGACATGTTCGTCTTGTATCACTACAATGGTCTACAGCGTAGCAATCCGGAAAACAGAGTGAAATATCACAAAGGACAGGCGGTATTGCTTGAGTGCACCGTGAAATGTATCATGGACAGCAATCCTATGCTGACGGTCCTACAAACGAAGTGGCCAAGGATCGAGATACAGTGGGACATAGGACGAAATCCTAGTTTAAATTAGAATTTATAAAACTGTAATATATATGTATACAACGGAGCTGACTACACATAGAGTGACCTGACCGAGCGCTTCTATAGGAATAACGTTGAGAGGATTACCACTTTTAAGATCGTAGTCTAGTCAAATCGGCCATTTTCTGATTTACATTGGTGAATACCGCGAGGGATATTCATATTGAGGGATATCTGCCAATAAAGGGAATATCGTTTCCACGGAAGTAATATTGTAGTATTCGTGACGCATGGTCAGTATGAAAATCTACTAAGGATATCTACAATTCATGTCAAAGTATTGCACCACACTGACTGTGTCGACGAGATTTAAAGTAATTTATTTTTATTGAATGTTTTCATCGAATAATATTATCAGACACATAATCTATAGTTCTAATATTTCTCAAGAGAGCATCTTAACGAAATTTTCTCAGCACAATAGGATTTAACTGTGGTCGATTACAAGTAATTTACAATAACACAAGGTCAAAAGCATCCTGCTCACTCGTTTACTTCGTAATAAATATTTTTGTTAACAAAAATATTAAATTCTACGTTGGTTTCAATAAAATTCATTTTGTTTGTATATTGTATAGATAAAATGTTACTAAGTATTATATGACATGGCATATATTACTTTGAAACTTTCCGTGCATTATTTCGCTATTCTTGCCATAAAAATGATTTGGCTCAAAGCAATGTTTCAAAAAGCGCCGTTTTAATAAAACTATGTAAATTTAATTTCAAGTTCCCTTTCCCGATGTAATAAAAATCAGAGCTGTATATTCCCTGAAAATCGATGTGCAAGGTAAAATGCGCGCACTTTTGGAATATTACTTACTACACGGTAATTTTAATAAATATTTGGTCAATGTTCATTTTATATGACTTTTGCATAACTGCAGTTACAGTGTTAAATAATAAACTTACTACTTTTGAGAAATAATTATCGTAATATGTTTTTATCGCTCTGTATTAAAATCCTATGAAAAATTCTTAAACAATTCCAGATTGTAGATTCTACTATTTTACTACTCTTTAAAATTACACAAACATTACTTCAAAGTATTGACAGTAAAAATACAAACTTATTTCAATTTATTGCTGCATTGATTATTTATGAATATGCGTTTATTATTTTATTTACATCATGAATCAGACATTACATTATCTATAAAATTAGTAGATAATATTTAATGCTATTTGCTATAACGGTGTACTATTACATTGTTATTAAAAAAACATTGATTTACTAATTTTTGAATTATATGTACATTTTCAATCACTTGCATCATCAACTCGATTGTCGTCTCCGCCACTGACCGCGGAACTTTCGGAATTGGATTCTTCATCTGAATCTTTAAGAACTTTTCCTTTAATATTCTTTTTAGGTCTGTGTGTCTCAATGTCTGAGCCATCCTCATCCGAAGAATAAATATTTGATGCTGAAACAAAGTTTTTTTCGAATCACAAACGGTGAAAGTAGAGGAATGGGTTAACGTAACATAATCTATGTATAAAAGAACAAAAAGAGAATAGATCTTGAAGTTAAATATACTACATTTTAGTATAACGTAAAAAGTATTAAGACGATCTTTTTTCGATCTTTATAAAAAAAAAAACACCGACTATTTAGTACAATGTAAAGAATATTAAGACAACACGTTTTAATGTAATGAATATCAAGTAACCTTTAGAAGGAATCACTGCGGCTCCTTTCTTATATTTATTTTTTATGGCTGCTAATGAAATTGCACCCTCGTCATCAGAACCATCATCGTGATAAGCGTCATTACTGTACGCTCCTGCAGTGCGGTTAGTATTTCTGATACCACCAGTACTTTTCTTCGTTTTGTTTTGAACTCGCATTGCCATACGTAGCTTCTCTTCCTCTTTCTAAAAAAAAATAATTAGAAATTGGAATGCAGTAATAATAAATTTTTAACGTAACATGTATATTAGAAATTAGTGTGATGGCGCATGGCGCTCCGTGAGCGAGCACATTGACTTGTAATTGACGGTTCCGAACAGAAAAATCTTGAAAAATTTTGACAGAAAAATCTTCACATACGCCTTGATTTTACGAGGTTTATTAGAAAATTAAAGGTGTAAAAAGATGGATCGTAAAATGTTACGAAAATGTGAAGATTCACGTTAAATATTTTGTGACACAAACTTTTCGATGTACAACGATGCGAATTTATATTTCAACATCCGGTGAAACAAACTGATTTCGTAACGTGTAGAAAGGTCGAAAGAGTTATATCGCACATAATACGAAAAAGCACGCGAAAGCATATATTAGAAATTATAATACAGCGTACCTTTATCATCTCATATCTGTTCTGGTCTGGGTTCATTCCAACTTGAGAAAGAACTTTAATGCCAGAGGTCTTTTGCGACCTGTCGGCCAGAGACATGGTCATCTTCCTGTGCGTGAACGATTCAGTGGAATGTGGCCGGAATGTCAATTTCGTTCGAAATACTGCCTGACCCTGCAGACCGGTACCCTGGCGAATATAGAGGTGGTTGTGATCGCCCTGTAACGGCTGTTTGTACACGTCGAAAATCTCTGAACCCAGATGCAACGACATACTGCCGTCCGACCACTTCACGAATCTCGCGTTACTCTGCTTCACCATTTTGCCGTCGTCACTAAACGTGTCCTTCCATCTCAACGTATTCTCCACCTTGAGCTTCAGTCGAGCGCGGCCCTCCTCGTCCAGAGTCTCCTCCTCGTCGATCTCATCCTCGTAGGTCTCGTGATCGAACGGCCTCGTTTCGACCGACAGGAAATTCGGTAACTTCACAAAGTGAATCTCGCGTCCTAGATCGGTAGTAATTTTCGGGATTTCTACGTCAATTCGAGTTTCCGGAGGTAGCTCCGGCTCTTCTTCCTTATCTTTATTCTCCTCCTGTACAGAGAATACATTTGATGTTAAAATATCCACGGTCAAAGTCAAGTTGCACTTAGCCTGCCACGTATAAAAAATAAATGACATCCCTGTTTAAAAGATCCGATATAATTAGATAAAAAACCTATACAATTCTATCGTGTTTTCGTAAATATCTGATTGTTATCTTTTTTAACTCTATTTAGTATATAATTTAAAAGTCATCTTTAAGTGATGTTTATCTCCGACTATATTTAGTCAAAATTGATATTATCGTACAACGTTTTCAATTTATGTATGATTTGTTATGTAATATTTTAATTTTAGAGATTTTGTGTCTTTCATATATAAGTAATATTAATATTTCTTATACAAATATAATAAAATATGTAACAAATCATAATTTTTAGTTAGATAAATTATATTAAAAAAAACATACGCGGTCAGATTTGTATTTAATATTTAAGATATAATATTAAAAAACAATAGAAATAGATAACTTCTCTATAGTAGCTCAAATATCCGATTGAAATAATAAGTTTACTATAAAATTAGATAAAATTTCAATAAAGTTTAATCTATAATATTCTATAAAGTATAAAGTTAAATCTATGTTATTATCTATGTTAAATCTATGTTATTTATCACAATCTATCGGATATTTTAAGTAGGGATTCTAAGGTCACAAAAAAAAAGGTAAATACTTATTCGCTTCTCGTCCGATTAACTTACGTCCTCAATAACAGTTTGATGGCTCGGACCTTCTCCACCGCTCTCGGATCTGCCGCGGCTGTGACTTCTACTCCTACTCCTACTCCTGCTTCTGCTCCTGCTTCTGCTTCTGCTTTTACTTCTGCTACGACTTTTGCTTCTACTCCTGCTCCGACTGCGACTCCGTTCCTTTTCTTTCTCCCCTTCCTTCTTATCCTTTTCGTCGTCCGTACTGATGTCACTTGCGTCGCCGAATAACGCGTCCGCAGTCGGAGCGACGCTATTTTCCTTGTCGGCTGTCTCATTTTCAGAATCTGAGTTTATAATCTTTTTAATTCGCTTCACAACTTGTTTTTCTGCATCTGAATCGGAGCTGCTGCGTTGCCGTTTGCTTATCTGTTCTTCTTCGTCGCTCTCGTCGGATTTTGGACTTCGATCTAGAAAAAAAATATATTTCAACGTTATAGACGGTACAATTAATTACACAATATAAATAGTAATTTACTAGAAAGCAACACATTCTGAATATTGCAAATAATAAAATAGAGCCACACAAACCTGCCTGTTTGAAGGATTTGTTTGATTCATTATCGCTTTTATCGTTTTTGGGACTTTTGGATCCCGACCTCTTGTCAGACTTTTCAGAAGCCGCTCTCTTCGTCGATTCGTCGAACTTCCTCGAAGAAGCGGAAGAATTCGACCGCCTTTCCGTCGGGCTCGCTGAACCCGCTGACTTGTTGCTCCTTTGGGAAGATACGCTTCGAGACCTACGACTCTTCGGGGAATAACCGGAGGCGTTGGACGCGGGGGAGGCCGGGGTCTTGGACTTCCTCTCCACCGATCTCGAGCGCGCGGATCTCGAACTGACGGGTGACTTCGGACTCGCGGAGCGTACGCTGCCGCGCGGGGACGGCGAGCGCGATCGAGGGGACTTGGGCGAGTCCGCCGAGCTGCGAGAGGCCGCCGACTTCGGCGTGCCGCTCCTGGACCGCGGAGACGCGGATTTCCCACTCCTGGATCGCGGAGACGCGGATTTCCCACTCCTGGACCGCGGGGAGGCGGATTTCCCACTCCTGGACCGCGGGGAGGCGGATTTTCCACTCCTGGACCGCGGGGAGGCGGATTTTCCACTCCTGGACCGCGGGGAGGCGGACTTCTCGCTCCTGGACCTCGGCGTGCCGGACTTCTCGCTCTGAACGGAACCGACGCTCGAACGCCTCGAGCCAGATCCGGCCGGTGACGACGGGCTCTCCGATCTGCGACTGCCGTCCAGCTTGTTCGACCCGACCGGACTCTGGCTGGTGGACCTCGAGCCCCTCGAGGCGCGGCTGCCGCTGGCGTTCGACGCGGGCGAGGCCGGCGCTCCGTTCTCGTCCTCGGAGTGCTCGCTCCTGGCATTGCTCGTTTGCACCGGCGCCTGCGACGCTCGGCTACCGCTGCGGCTCGAGCCCCTCGAGGACGCGGAGGCGTTATCGGACTCCGAGCCTGAAGCAAAGTCAGCGAAATCAGCGAGTGTGTCGCCCGCGAAAACATAACCTCAAGTAGAGCATCGATAAAGCTGTTTTGCTTAATTATTGCGAACGCATTAAGATGTATTGATATGAAATCGCAGGATCTGCGAAAGAACGGTAGAAATGACACGTCGGTCGATATTACGTACCAGAATCGCCGCTGGAATCGCGCAAAATCTCTCGCATCGGTGACATGTGTTTTGAGGTTCGTAACAGAGCCGTTTCAAAATAAGTTTTTCACAGCCGAAAGAGAAACGGCTCGCGTGCAGGTTTCAGCAATGCATACTGCACGGAAAGAACGTTGCAGCAGCTAATCACTTTTCGTATTTTTTAATTTTTTATTTAGAAGAGATGAGAGGCTGTAGATTTACACACGTTCCTTACGCTTCTTTATTCTTCTTTAATGGCACCTGCCCTTCACCAAGAGATAATGCGGTCAGTATCTTTGTGTAAAATGTTACCCAGCAAAATGAAAGACTGTGGTGAAAACCAATAGTCAAATTCAGCAAATGTGGAAAACGTGTATAGCTAAAAATATTCAAGTGTGAACACAAAGACTGGGTTGGTTCTGTTAAATTACGTTAAACTACTTGCCGCGCCAGTCGGCGATCTCATACATTTCTTGGCCTTGCAGCTAACTTTCTTAAATGTCTAGTTCCTTCTCTTTTTCTCCAACGTCTAATTATATAATTATTTCACTTTAAGTGTAGAAAGTGCAGTGCAGCTACGAAGCATTCGGCATTATATTTTTTTGTCGATAAATTTTAAAATGCCCATTATTTTATTATAAAAGTTATATATATATATATATATATATATTTCTAGAATTTACAGAATTCTGATATATATTATTAAATTATATTATGTATAGCTGTTAGAAGCGCAAATACTGAATCTATCATACTTTAAAACTATAGCGAATTCAATACGGATTGCCAACAATCCTATGTCAATACGTTGTCTGTCACAAGATCAGTATAAGAAAATTCAAGTAATTTTTAAGTAAAAAGCAATTCGACATAATATGCATATATAATTATTAGTTAAATTTAATTTCGTACATGTTTGTAACTAAGATCGGCAGATGAAACTTAATGGAGGTAGTAATTAAAGTCAAAGTATTTGATAATTATGACCGAAGAATTATTTAAATATATCCTTGTCAAATTGCTTTCTGTTTTTCGCTAAGCTGTATATATATAATCGCAAATGTATACATTCTCAAAAATTGCTAGAAAGACATATACTAACAATCGGCTGTGCAATAACATTACAAGTGTAAAATATTGAATCATTGATGCCTATAAATTTATTTGTAATTTTTTTTTAATTGCAATGAAAAAAATCGTTATCACGAAATAAATTGGACCCGCAAGTCTTGTTCTACGGAATTATATATAAATACGCATGATATAATCATCTCATCTATGTTACCTATGCAATAGTACTTACAAGTACTAGGCTTTCATTTTACTTGTTATAAATAACTGAGTATTCAGAATGACAGTCACCCTAATATTTCATAGTATGTACTATAGTTTGCCTGAAAAGCTGAAGATCATACGCACATACATTACATTATTTTCTTTTTATAGACAACTTTTAACAATCCTTTAAATAGTTTTACAACCAATATATACGTTTGTTTCGAGAGACTGGAAATTATATGACAAAACAGAAAGAGGCTTCTTTATGTATATTTTCACTCAAGTTGAATTAATAAAAATTAAAACTTCATTTACTCTGCATAGCAACCGTTCAGCATGCAATTTGAAATTTGCATGAAACGAACGCTAGAGTCGTTCAATACATATGGTGTGTGGATCTCGTAATATGATTTACTCCGAGTGTATAAAGATATCGCATACGTAATTGCATTTTATAACAAATTCTCATTATACACCCAAAGGCAATTATACACATGTGTAAATATAATATATATATATATCTATCTACAACACGCAAAACTTATATTTTTAGTTTACATGTTTTATGTATTATGCTTGCAGTTCTTGTAGTCTTCTACACGAGGGTGTTTCGAGATTTTTAGCTTTCAAGAACAGATCTTGATCTCCCAAATTACGGGCTTTCCACATTATACCTTCTCCTATTAGATTACACAGAATATAAGTTTGAAATATGTTCTGAATGTTTACAAGTTTATGTTATAGTATTATATAGCACTACATATATAGTATTATATAGCGCTTTAAAGCACAATATTTTTACATTATATAACACTACATAGCAGCATTCAGGAAAAATATGATAAATACATTAAGAAAGGTAAACGAAGCAAATATACATACTGTAATTTTTCTCCCTGGCGCAGGTCTGCCTCAAGTTACTCACGTACTCCTCTTCAATTGAAATTTCTAGCCTACGTAAGCTGCCTTGATATTCACTATGAAAATTCTCCTTAACATAATATGGCACTTTCAAAACCTGAGTTGTTCTCGCCACAGAATATTTCCTACAAGCAAGGAGATCATTACGTATTCTTACGAAAATTTTCACCGGCACTCGGAATGAATTATTCATCGGTTATACTTACGAACTTGCATGCAGGCTATATACTGGGTCGGATATGAAAAAACTGCTCATCATGGTTAATAATATTAGTAACAGAACTGGTAACATCTGAAGAAATGTGGTGTATCCGTTTGCTTGCTGAAAATACGTTACATCGTGATTAAAAAGAAAAAAAAGAGAGAAAGAACAGTACTTCGAAATTGTGCGTCGAAACAACGCCAAATGTCTTTCTGCTCTACCTGAGAATGAGCATGTTGCGCTTGCGCCTCTGATTGCCGCATCCATCTTCCACCTGGCCGACGCATATAGAATTCTTGTTGCCCGAAGCCGACGCCGAAGAACATGTTGAATAATTCTTCGGCCGTGATATCGGCTGAAGAAGAGAAATTACAGATTATGTTTTTATGAATATATAAACTTGTATGATGCACACACATTTCTCTTAATACTCTTTTACCTTCGAATCCACGAGTATAGTTGTAATGCGTATGGCCTTGGCGGCTGTGTGCATTCTGCATTCGTTCTTCTTCGGGACCATACATGTCGTACTGCTTCCGTTTCTCCGTGTCGGTAAGAATAGCAACCGCATTGCCAATAGCTATAAAAAAATCAATTTTTCGTGTAAAATGTAGATATATTCACAACAACTCTAATTTCTCTTTTTTCCCTCGCTATCTTAATGTACCTTTAAAAGCCTCGGCAGCACCTGGTGCTTTGTTTTTGTCAGGATGTAATTGAAGCGCTAATTTCTTGTAAGCCTTCTTAATGTCGCTGTCTGTAGCGTCTTTGCTGACACCTAGGATCTCATAATAATCCTTGCATTTCCTTATCCTATAATAATAACATTTTTATAAAAACAAACATTTGTACAAAATAATTAAACAAATAATAACAAATATTAATTGAAAATGTCAAATACAGATCAATAAACGTGATTAAAAGCAAATATATATTCCATAAATATCATAATTGTTCTCGAGTAATTAAAATGATCCTGAAATACCTACCTCTTTATATGCTCCAACTGTTCTTTCGAATACTCAGAATTACTCTGGGAATGTGTTCCGTCTTTAGTTACATTCTGCCGCTTTCTAACGTTAGGCTCAGCCGACTCCGACTTCTGGTTCTGCTTCGAGAGTAGAGCCACTTCCGCCAGCAAATCTATAAATGCAAAATTTGAGTCCTGTAAACATTAGGTATTACTCTGACGAACAGAAGGAAGCCGTGTGCGCCCTCGTAAAATAAAGTGTTTTATTCCGCCTGAATATACGTGGTTGACGCCAAAAGAATCAACAACGGTCCGTCGTGTGGCACGGCGTGACACGCGAAGAGGGAAGAGTCTCGCGGGGACGCTACGCTCGACAAATCGTATACCGATACGGAGTATCTCACTGAGTGCGGCCTCACGTACCCTCGGCCTTCTTCGTCGGATAGAGCTTCTGGGCCTTGCGAGCGAATTTCTCGGCCTCGTCGTACTTTCTCTCGCGCATAAACCGCTCCGCGAGCTCCATGCATCGCTCCGCCTCGTCCTTGTTGCTGTCCATCTCGGCCCGTCGCTGGCGAGGCTGGTTTCCCTCGCGAGTTCACCGGGATTCAGAGTCACAGTGACGGAGCAGAATGGTAAATAGATTGCGAGGCGTGTGACACCCTCTCAGTCCCGACACTCCACCATAATATAATAATTCAGTTACGTCACAAGCATCGTCACGACAGCTGAGCGAGTTGGATGCAGACGACGCGATGCGAACGGGATTGCGATTACGGGCGTGCGAACGCCATTAAATCCGTTGCCCAGTCGCTCCCTCGCCAATACGAGTCCCGTTGTCGCGCGAACGAGGAGCGATTTCGTAGCGATTTATGAATTATGAGATCGCGTGATGATCGTCATCGATTCGGAAAATTCGGATGCTCCGCGAGAGCGATCGACCCTTCTGAATCACTAATCCAGGAATGTCGTGCGTTGTCAGTACTTGTTGAACGCGGATTGGCTGCCGAGCGAGGTATCTTCGATGGCCGCGGGTCTGTTCGATCCATTTGCACTTTCTGCACTCGGCTCTTTCGCTCTTTCTTTTTTTGCGACGTCCGAGTGCATACGTTTATCTCGTTTTAGCTACAAAAAGTGCTGTGAAGTGCAAATGAAACAAATAGATCTCTCGTAGATTGAGAACCAGAGAAGATAGACGAAAGTATAGAAGCACCAACGACATATATAATAGACCGAACATTCCTATGCTTTTGCTGTGGAGGGGGGGTGAAGCCAAAAGTTGGCAGCATACGACTGAGAGAGATAGTGCAATTTAAGGGGAATACTCTCTCTTTTATCTTACTGCAAGATGACGCTGGTGTCAATTGACAGCTGTTGACAGAGAGGATCCTGAGAGCGGTCATGCCCGCGATTTAGATGCAAGTATGCAACCGGAAATTGAGGCGCTGGTTTCAGCGTCTCTAAAAAGTGGATTGAACTACTAATTAGAGAGACTAATGAGACGCGTTGAACGGAAAGACAACATCTACTTTCCAGAGGGGCTGAAACCAGATCATCGTCAGTTGCACGGATATGACCGCTCTGGTAGCTTAGAGTCCTAGATTATCAGAGAAGCGCGACCGGTGTTACGAGTCCTGATTGGACACGCAAATGGCCAAACATAAGATTGATTTATCGCTATTATAAAT